TATTTTTTGGCTTGGGAATATGATGGAACAAAGCAAAATGGCTTACGAAACTGTCTGTGCTTCTTTGTTATGAAGCAGCCATCAGTCCATGCAATATTCACTATGGGTCATCCGGAAACAGTCTTTATGTGCTTTAGTACAGGGGTTAGACTGCGTACATCCAACCCCTCTTACCCCACCGAAGGTGTGTGTTAGGGACCCGGCTCAATAGAGTATTAATAATAATAAGTCTACAAGTTGAGTATAAATAGAATAAGCTTGGGAGGTAGAGTAGGCTGTTTTAGACTTTGTCATTTGGGACTTGGGAAGATCGAGAGCTAATCTCTTTCTTTGGGGGGCTTCGGCCAGTTCTTGTTACTATTTCTGTACAGGTTCATCTCAATGAAATTTCAGATTGATTCTTCATAGATTTCTATAAATCTTCTGTAAACCTAGATAGTCCCTATCAGTGTGGGAGCCTTCGCGGCACTGGGGTAATGATGATGATGATGAACTATTTCCTATAATTTCAAGGATAAGTAAGTTATAAACTTATAACTATGAATACATTCCAGCCTTTCTTTGTTTGTTTATGAATAACAGTTTGCTGCCTTTACTTCAGTTGTTTTAAGGGACATATTTCCCCATAACTTGACTATGACTATGTCATTTCTCACATTTATATTTAGCTTACTGGTAAGGAATAAATTCATTTTAAAAATCCTGCATTGGTCTGAAATATTGTGGGTTTATACTTCATACACATGCACTTCTCAATATTTTCAAAATCATTTTCAAAATTCATAGACATTGGTCTCAATATCTTCATACACATGCACTTCTCATACACTGCATTGGTCTCAATATCTTCATACACATGCACTTCTCATACAAATTCATTTTCAAAATCCTGCATTGGTCTGAGAGTGCCATAAGTAAATATAAATAAAATAACTACTCCCTTCATCCCAATATTTTTGAACCATTGACCAGTTACCTTACTAACATAACAAAATTGTGTGGTTGCAGTGTATTTAGACAGGAGAGAAGCAATACGAACTACAAAATTCTTTCCTTGAAAGGAAAGGGGGTGAAAGTTTTGGGACAACCCAAAAAACATTCAAACTTAGCAATGAATGAACTATTTCGATTGAAACTTCAACAACACTACTCAGCATTCTGAATTAAAATTACCAAACATACTGGGAGAGAATAACATCAATGATATGGATAGTTCGGCATAAATTCAACAGAAGAAACTCTCTTATTTACCAGTTTTAACTACGGGGCAGCTCTTCTTGCACTCCTGACGGCACTTCTTTGGCTTGCATTTGTCAGAGCTGACAATAGCAATACGGGTCAACCTCTGCTCTGACATTTTTCAAGTTGCCAATCTGTAATCTCAATAAGTGAAATTCAGAAGAAAAAAATCCACCCAGCAAACGCCATAAATCAATTGAAATTTGAATGATACAAAAATGTCAAGTTGTCAACGCATGCTAATGCAGTTTGTTTTGCCAATTTGCCTGCCAAACTGACGGAAGAAAATGTACTGCTAACAAAACAAAGATAAAAGCATTGTTATCAGTTATCACTAGAGGATCATGGAAGAAAGCCTAACAACAGCGCGGGTAGCATTGGTGAAAATAGCGAAAACATAGCGGATCAGGTAAAATAAATTGCATATATAAGAATTATATTTAAATTTATATTTAGGACTCAACCTCCAAAATTCAATGTTTTCTTAAATGGAGGTCTTAAAAAAACCAAATAACAAGTCAGTACAGCTGCCCAGTTTCAATTTTAACAGCTTCTAGTACTCTTCTTCAATCCCAATATGAACTGTCAAGTTGGATCAAGATTTCAAAATAATTGAAAGAATAGAAAAGTTTTTGCGCTCCCAGAAAATGGAGAATAGGCTCGGAATCTTACTGGAGGTCTGAAGCACCGAGTCCAGGACGCAGAAGAGGCCGCTACAGACTGGACGAGGAATAAACAATCGTGGAGAGGAGGGTTTCTTTTTTATTTTCGTATTAAATAAAATTAAATAAAATTAAATACAAGAGATATTACCCAAAATGGGACTAAAAAGGTTTGAAAATTCCAAAATAGGACTTCCATGTTGGGAACTTTCCCTAAATACAAATAAGTCTAACTGAATAAACCAGTTGGAAAGAAAAATGGGCTTTATGGGTTGTACAAACAATTGTCGAGTGTTCTTTTTCCCTTCCTCATCATACTCAACATTTGTTCCTCACTCATTTATTTCAAATTACTACTCTTGATACATCACTAAAAAAGGTTTAATTGTTGCGGTTATTTTGACGTAATTGTTGTGGTTTGAAACCACAGAAGGTTTCATTATTTTTTTAAAAATGTTTTAACATATTGTGGCGGTTGGTATACAACTACAACAATTCCGACATATAATAATAGCATTATAACATTACATTCTACTGATTTTCTCATTACAATTCCAAATGCACAATTGAACATATATTATACCAAAACAAGACATGTATGTAAAAAATCATATGTGCATTTAATTATCACCAACAATGTCACTTATCATGTACGTAGTGTTACAAAAATATCAAACAAATCCAATACAACAAAAAAATTTAATATAATTCTTTATGTATACTATAAGGTTTACAATAAGTTATCGCAAAAACGGATCACCCATGCATCCCAAACTTCACCAAATTCATCTATTAACAACATCTGATCTCTTAAAGTGTTCTTGGAAACCTAAAATACTAAGCAATTCCATGTAGTACATTTAACATTTGAAATTTTATAATAACAATTTGATTGACAAGTATATCTTTTAACTAATAATAGTATAATACTATAATGTGGCACTAAATCATTCAAAAGAATTTCTCATTTCACTTTCTCTATTAGATTTTACCTAGCATATATACCATTCAAAGAGATATAAGGTTTATAATGCCCTAAATTTTTACACATTTTCATAACTTCATAGCTACAAAGTAAATAAATAAAGAAATTTTGAGATGAAACATATATGTATATATATTCATGTTTTCATATATATATATATATATATATATAGAGGAATGCTCAGGTCCATCCGGAGGGAAGGAAGCCACCGTCCGAACTTTGCCGTTTGGGGCGGCTCCCGCTGGAATTTTTTGATGAATTTTTTTAGCGTGATTCTCATCAAGTCTACTTTGTCCATACCAAATTTCAGCTCAAAATTCGATCGGGAAGGCATTCAAATCATTTTTTGAAGGTGACTGCGCCAAAATATACATATAAAAACGCAGTCAACTTCAAAAAATGATTTGAATGCCTTCCCGATCGAATTTTGAGCTGAAATTTGGTATGGACAAACTGACAAACTAGATTTGATGGGGAACATGCTCAAAAAAATTCATCAAAAAATTCCACCGAGAACCACCCCAAACGGCGGAGTTCGGACGGCGGGTGGACCTGAGCATGTCGCAGGTGACATTCATATTGGGAGCTTATTATTCGCCACACTCATATGACGTGACCCGTTGTTGTGAGTGTTTAGTACTCAGTCAGTGTACGTTGAGTGATCGGATTTCATAGGGTCTGTTTTTTCAATATCAAAAGCGCACATTACTTGATATTAAAAATAATAGTGGCGTAACTCAACTTGCAGTTCGGGTTTGTAGTTTGAACTCACAAGTGTATACCATATTGATCATATCAATACATGATATTTCAATTTAGGGAAAAATACGGAAAATGTATTTGTGGTTGGACCCATTTTCAGATAGGGTAATGTGTTTCATTTTTTATCAAAGTGGTTCATGTGTTTGAATTCCGTTATCCCAAGAGGGCCACGCCGTTAAAAGCGTCTGAAAATGACCGTTAAAAATAACTCCGATTTTCAAAAGTGCCCGAAAAATTAAAAGCAAATTACTGGAAGGTGCGCCTCATCAAGATGATCTCCAAACCACCTTCGCCTTTAGATTTTTCGGGTCACTGGGCCGTCAAAGCCACCGGGAACATGCTCAAAAAAAATCGAGCTAGCATTTAAAGTTCAATGCTAGCTCGATTTTTTTTTTTTTTAAAGGAGATTTTATTGAAATAAAATAAGAGTACAATGCGAGAAAGGAAAGACATAAAACAAAATTACATGAAAGAAAAAAACAAGTGCTAATCCCATGGGAAATCTCAGGATTGGGACCTAGTTCTCATGTTGTGCCGCCTTTTGTTTTTTTGAGATTTTCTGTAGATTTTTAGCTGCGTGTTCAAGTTCTCAGTTGGCAGACAGTTTTCCGAGGTTATGAAATTAGCTTTGTGGCATATCGCGGTATTGAATTTTGATTTCCTTATTTCTTCGGGGTATGAAATAGGAGGACGGCGATCGCTCTCAGTTGCGTGTTCCAAGAAGTCATCTTGCTAGCTCGATATTTGTCTATATATCTGGGATAGGACAGAATGTGTGATATGTTGCCCCTTGCTGCTGCAGGTAAGGTTTATCCATTCCATATAAAAGAAAATAATTAATAAACGGTACGACTAAAAAAGTTGAAAGTTCGATTATTCATTCTTAGGCTGATTGCAACCATGGGGTGAAAAAGCCAATTTTGAGCTTTTCACCCCAAAAACAAGTGCAATCCAATGTATTGAGAAGGGCCAAAGTGGGTTGGAGGCTCCTTGGGAGTGGAATCCTGTAGCTTTATTCACGGAAGAATGGCTAGCCCCTGCTGAGATGAAAAAATAAATCCCATTTTTCTTTAAACTATTCTAACTTTTATTTTTGTATTTGAATTTTTATAAGATGTATACCAAAATTCATAACTTTTTATTATCTTTCACATGACACCAATACTGAATATATTAAGTTAAAAAAAATAAGTCTCAACTACACGAGCTTTTCGGAACAAAAAATATTTAACTCTAAATTTATTTATTTTTACATCGGAACGTTTAGCTTTTCGAATCGTAACTATTCGCAACAACAAAACTAGAAACAAATTGATGTATAATAATAAAAGTAAGACAACAATTAAAAAGAACTTTGTTAGATGAATATTTATTGACGGTACTGGATTGCAACAAAAACCGAATTGACTGAATGAATACGTATAATGTTGTGGGGAATTTGATTTATTGACGGAACTGGGTTGCGGTTAGCCTTATTCATTGTTTGAAGGGAGAACCAAACATACAGATACAAACGCATTAATTTAGATGGACAGTGTGTACATATATTTGCGTACACGTGCATAAGTCATTAGGGTAGGAGATCTCTATCTACCAGCTGCTATACAGCGCAGAAATCACCAAACTAGTAATCTTTAACCGCAAACCCCATAGCAGTTATGTTGTTTATTGTGTACAAAGAAAGAGCAAGTTAAATAAATCATTTCCACTTTTTGAACATGCCTCCATGCTTTCCTCCCTTCCCATGCTTGAACTTGCCATGATGCTTCCCGTGCTTGAACTTGCCATGATGCTTCCCGTGCTTGAACTTGCCATGGCTGCCATAACCACCATGCCCGCTGGCATAACCACCATGCCCGCCAAATGGAATAGCTCCATGTTGTTGTGGAAAGTGACTACCCCCTCCGTGTGACATGTGACCAGCTGCATATGCAAGTCCCGCAGCTGCAGCTCCACCCGCTAACATTGACCCAACACCAGGTCCATGATGCCCTGAATGTAACAAGCAGGTTTAAGCTTTCATTTGATAGCCAATTCTGGCTGGTTATGCTCAGGGGAGGATCTATGCACAGGCTATAGTAGGCTGAAGCCCAGGGCAACTTAGAAAATTTTCAATTTTTTTAGTGTAATTTTTTTTATTTTTTCACGTTTAGCCCACCCCTCTAATATTTAAACCTAGTATAATTTCTATTCAGCCCAGGGCATCTCAAATTCCTGGATCCGCCCCTGGTTATGCTGATCATCAAAATAATCAGAATAAGCGGAACAAGTCGCTTTTAGCTTAATGAAACATTTTTCATTTCAAACAGATTTCAGCCAAACAACCCTTACCAAACGGGCTGTACCAAAAAAATACGGATGAGAAAGGTGCCACTTAATTGATTATCTATGGTTCTCATACATTAAAAAACAATGAAGTTTATGATAAACAATGCTGAATAAATACTTAAATAGACAGTATGAAGGGCTTGACAGGAATAAAATACTTCAAGTATGAATACATCGGCATATATTATACTCCCTTCGTCTCCGAAAGAAGTTCCCACTTTTCTTATTTGGATGTCCCTAATTTAAGTTCTCATTTCCTTAAATGGAAAGTTATCTACATCAAAACAGTACCAAACAGTGTCGGAACAGTGTCAAAATAGTAAAATTTACCCCTGATAAGTTTACTTGCATAAAAGTGTGAAAGTCAAATGGAGAACTTCTTTCGGGGATGGAGGGAGTAATTATTTTGAATAGGCAGTGCACAGGATACCAGAAAATACAGGCAGCTTATGCAGAAAGATACAAAAGAAAATATTTACCAGAACTGGTTGAGTGTGGAGCAGATGGACCAGCAGGATATGCATTGGGAGGGTAACCTGCTTGAGGATAACCATGCGGAGGATATGCATTGGGAGGGTAACCGCCTGCTTGAGGATAACCTTGTGGAGGATATGCCCCGGGTGGCTGGGGATATGCCCCTGGTGGCGGGGGATATGCCCCAGGCGGATAACCCCCATGTGGTTGGAGGTGGTGTGCTAAATTAGAAAACAATCCCTTGTCTTGCTCTCCGTGCTTATTATGCTCATCTCCTCCTCCCATTTTTCACGTATAGAAACAAAAAGTACCTAAAAGATAGTGGTAAGGAGTACATGAGATTAAGATGTTAATAGGAGTACGTACATGTGTGCACTCCCACGTGTATAAGCATACACACACACACCATACAGCTATATCTTCAAGCGTAAGCAGGGAATCAGATTCAAAGCCATTACTTTCCTTTTTCCTCTCACTGTTTTCTTTCAGAATCTCTTAAATATATGAAGTTCAAATCCATGTATTCCAAACTTTGACCATTCTTCAAGCAGAAACTTAATAGAGATAATCGGAACATACCTTTTTGGTGCGATACTAAAAAAAAGTAAATTTGAGGAGCTCAACCCTATAAATAATTGGCTTTTCACATTATTTAACTCCATAAATCAAACTCCGACCTACATACGACTAATGAAAAACAGATCAAGCCATGTCAGGAAAAATTCATTTAAGGATAGGGGACTATTTCATGCAAGTGCAGGCTCCAATTCTATGAAATCATGCCTTTCATCCAAAAAAAAAAAGAAAATCTATGAAATCATGAATGATGCGACTAACTTTCCTAAACCATATCAAATTCGCAAGATTAATCTCAGTTCCAAATGCACACACAATCCATTAGTAGCGGTCACATGACCCAAAAAGCTTCCAACTGTCTCAACACATACAACAGACGGATTTCAAAAAAGGAACCCCCCCCCCCCCAAATGGTATAGCAGGCTGATTAACCTCTCTATGCGAAATTGAGAAACATTGCGAAGTAAAAAAAAAAAGTCAAAAATATCATACGAAAGACAGAATCGCAAACGCATCTGACAATTCTCACACCAAAGGGAACGATAGGTAGTGATCGTGAAGTTACAGAGACATGATCGCAAACATAAAAACGTTTCAGATTCAATCAAGAAAACGTAATAAAAAAAAAACAGGAAAATACGATTTCGGATGAGGAGGACCTTACTGGTGAAATCGTAACTGGTGTTAAAATTCAAGAGCGCATATCCGTGCTAGGGGGTAAGCCTCTTCTTATCAACGATATTTCATTATTCTAATTTACGCGTTCCGGACGCGCATATGACGTGGAGGAGCCGAGCACAAATGCACAATTGACTTTCTCTCATTTATCCTCATCTAATTTCTTTGTATTTATATAATTATTCAAGTCTGGTTTGATCTGTTATGGTCTGATTTGGTCTTGAGTAAATTACAGTCCAAATAAAACATCTTAAGTTCTAAAAAAACGAATTAAATGATTTAATTAAAATATGAAATTACGGAGTAACAATTAGGCATTAATCCTAATATCAATGTTAGTTTTTGGTGGAGGAAATGGTCAATTGAGTGTATCAACACTTGTATGAGGTGGATTAAAGAATACATTATATTGTATTTGATATTTTTAAGTACATAAACTCGAGTTAGAAGTGTTAATTATGTACACACATTCGATTAACACGTTAATATGGATGAGTTGGCTGTCAGAATGTTGAGTAAGAAGGGGTACTCGGCCGGGGGGAACGTCGGCCAAGGTTCTGGCGTTGACCTTCAGAAAGTCGAGCAAAAATGAAAAGTCAACCTGCTGGGGTGCATCGGAAAAGGGGAAGTCGACTAAGGGACTTGGGGCTAGCGTCAACCTTTAGGAAGTCGATCTATTAGCATTCTGTTAGCCAAATCAACCATATTAACGTGTTAATGTAATAGGAAGTCGACCTATTAGGCTCTTTGACCCGTTTTCACCAACCTCCATATTGACTTGAACTTCCACCAGATTCTGCAAGTTCACTGCTCTACGTTTCCTAGACTCACCTTCCTGAACGGCTCTAGCTTGATTTTGCTCTTCCGTAGCTCCCATCTTTCCTTTTCCCATTGAAATAAGTCCCTGGACCAGATAATAGTCAGCCTATGTTGCCTTCTCTTGTATCACTATCAGCTGCCACTTGTTAACTCTCGCCCCTCCACGCAGAATAAGCCACTTATTCCCCGGATGAAGTCCTCTACGCCTCATATCTGCCCTCATCCAAGGGCCATAAAGCTTCTCTCCCACCCACGGACCCATTGAAATTAGATGGGAAATAGCGATCGGTATGGCCCAGCAGTCCACAGATAAAACAAAGGTTGGGAGTCTCATACTTGAAATATGTCCAAAACCAACTACCCCCCTCTTCTCTAATTTGTGTCCTTCTTTCAACACATTGTTTATATTTATAGAAACACGGATACATACATACTCTTTAATGTCTCCTTTTAGAGTTATTTCATCAATCTGAATCAGTTTCCCCAGGTAATGACCAATACATGTCGCCACTGTCTCCGTCATAAAGCTTAGTGGTAAGTTATGGATCTGCACCAGAACTCTGCATGATCCAGCTCTACCTGAAGTAGTCTATCCTTTGCTTCCACCCTCCTAATAACTACTAAATTCTGATCAAAGGACCACAGTCCATCCTGGAATACCTGAGATATATCATTCTCATGATAGAATTGGACCATGAACCGCATATCTTTGATCTGTTCAATATTCGCCCCTTTACTCGGGCACCATATCATTGACTTTGTCTCACAGAAGGGGACATGCCGGACATGTTTGTCCGTGACAAGCCTGGCAACCGCAGAAAATGTGGTTTGTCCCCATCCCCACTACCAACATCCAGTGGTCCAGATTCAAACACAAGTTCACTATTTTCCTCTTCCGCAAAAGACATCCTCCCGTAGTCAAAAGTTATTTTCTCCATTAAAATATAATAGACCGATAGCCACTGTTGAGGTTAAGTCCCGGAGATCCGAAAGCCCAACACACGCTTTGGATATTAAGGACGTAGGTTTGGGTTAAAAGGTGTATAAAATATAAAATAGTGAATAGACCTGAACTCAGAAACTAATCTTGCATTAATAACACTTCCTAAACGGTACGTCAGAATAGTGCTTAATACAACAACCAGAATGACAATTCTATTACTAAGCTCTGAGTATCAAAATGCTAACCATTTACAATGTATTCAATGCAGGTATTTATACTAAAGAGGGGGTAGGTGGGATGATGACGTGGACGAACCCTGTTTGCTGCTGCCTCCACTTGTGCACCCCATGCCTCCACTTGATATCGCCATGCCTAGGCCCCCCCAACCCCCAACCCCAGACCCCCTGGAGTAAAAAAAAAGAAAAAAAAACTAAAAAAACAATAAATAATCAATTGCAAAACGTTGCTTTAATTTTTAATGTATACTAGAAATATTATATTTTAGGTTATATTTATTATGAATTTCTTATTAGATGTAAAGCTATTATATTATATTTATGGTTTAGTTTACAAAATTGATCTTTTCTCTTTCTTTTCTCTCTTTTTATCTTCTTTATCTTTCTATATTTTAAATATTATTTTTATCTTTTATTTTCTCATGTTCTTTTATCATTTTGTCTTTTATCTGTTCTATGTTCTTATGTTCTTTTTATCTTATATTTATTTTTATCTTATCCATTTTATTTTATCTATTTATTTTTCTTATCTTTATTTTATTTTTGGCTCTGATGTTATGGATCGATTCATGTTAGACGACCATTGAAATCTTGTGGGAATAGTGCTTGGATGGTGTTTTGTCTCATTCCCTACATAAGTACAACTATATTGATCAATGCATTTTAGTCATATCTTTACTACTTTTTACTAATAACTTTGTTTTCTATCGAAGGTTAAATTTTTATCTTGACAGAATAAATAAGTATTATATTCATCTCAATTGTACCACGCATAATATATATATATGTGTGTGTGTGTATGTATATGAATTTTTCAAACTAAACACAAAATATATATGAAGAGTATACACACTTTTGTAGGAACTTTTCTAAGTTACACTCTCAAAAAAATTATAAAATTTAATGAACACGTTATCACTTATCATACGTAGCTTTTAAAACAAAACTTTGTTAATTCTATTATAGACCATTTATAATCTTACTCTACATTCTGTTTCAAAAACTGGAAAAGGATGTACTCTCTCACATATACTCTTTTTGTTTTTACTAGTATCGTACCCGTGTGTTGCACGGGACTATAATACCCCTCCCAGTCCATAAAATGTGACCAAATTTGATTGACATGCATATTGATAAAAAAAATGTGTGATATGAGATTTATGCATGTAAGAGATCGAAAGACTACTTCAAAAATGAATTTTAAGGGACAGATAAAAAATGAAGTGGCCAAGTTTTGTGAGATCGGGGATTTGTATGTTTTAACTAATTATTTGCATTGGAAGTAGTTATAAAGATATGCTTATTTTGAATGACTATTAGGAAAAAAGATCCAATGATCAAGTGTCTTACATATGAGTTGATGTGAAGAAATATGTACTCCTTATTACGTATGGAGTATAAAAATCATACAGACTACATTAAAAGATAATTAAAACAGCACATGATAGTTATAATCAGTGGTGTAACTAAAGCAATACTATCCCAGTTTCTAAATAAACATTCCACTTTCCTAGCCTTTTCAGTCCGTCCTTATAAAAGTCTTCTTTTCTTATTTAGTAAACAAAACGGTGTAAATCAGTGTAAAACAATGTTAAAAAGTATCAAACAGTGTCAAACATTACCATTTTATTATATTGTGTGTAATGTGAAAGAGAGACTTTTGAATAGGAAGATAGGGAATATATTGACTTGGATCGGCACAAAGAGTTTTTTTTTAAATCTTTTTACACATACCGTTTTACACTAACTATGTTAGCACTCCTAACTATGTTGGTACGCCCCTGCAGGTTATAATTATTGTAAGGGTCGAACTTACACAAAAGCATCCACAAAATCTATACAAAAGCAATAAAAAACACTAATTTTAATATATACTCCGTGATACTGTAATACGGAGTACTTGCTACATTAACTTTAGTTGCACATTTTTTAAAAAATTGAAGCCATGTTCGAAAATATCTGTGAAGAGGCGTTAATAAACGGTAGAGCCATGAACGTTAATTCCACTCTTCGGTAGAACTAATACATATCTTTGTGGAAGCGAGCTCTACTGTTCATCTTCGACACCCCATGAAAATTAAGTGTACCTGTAATTCTGTAAATTTATGAAGATACATACATCTATCTCAAACTACCTTCCATATCTTTTTTTGCATGGTACTTCTATTACTTCTCATGGACAATCAAAGCTTTCAAACCCCCACTCACATATGGTAGAATTATTCACTCATTGATAAACGGATGAAATCATACAAGTGCGAACGTGTTTGTAAAAGTATCCAAAACAATCATGCATGGCCTGAACAAATAATTGTTTTAAAGGAGTAAAAGTGTAAAACCGTAAAGGCATGTACTTAAAACTTGAATGACCGATTTGGAAAGTACGTGATAGACTAATAATTCCCAACATTTACCAAGCCTATAAATCACGAAGCACTGGTTAATTCCCAACATTTACTTAAATGACCGATTTAGAAAGTATGTGTTGCATCATATCGGCAGAACCGTTAATTAATGAACGGTTGCAACCTTATGGTGGGAATGGTTATTGCCTTGGTTTCCCTTTTTATATTAGTATAGATTTTTCTAATATGTTTGCATTATTATTTTGATTTAATAGGTTTCCTCCTCCAACTATTTTATCAGTTTAAATCAAATGACAATATTTTTGCAAAAGAAAATGAAAACTGAAACCGAACTAAAATAAATCGAACCAATCAAACCATGGTTTAAAATTTTGAAATGTAAAACTATACGAAACGAACTAAACTTTTTACTTTGATTCCATATTAAATTTTTAGCCAAGGTGAACCAAAAAACCGAACTCACCCCTAGTTCGGATCGGTTTTCCAGTTTTACGGTTCCAAGCCTAACTTATACATGTTACTTTATATTTTTTACTCCATTCGTCCCTTAAAACTTTGCCAACTTTCCTTTTTTGGATGTCTCACTAGTTTTGCCACTTTTCCTTTTAAGTAAAGAATTTGTGGTTCCAGTTAATTCTCTCTCCTCTACACAAACCTCAATCACACAGTTTTTATTTCATTAATCTCCGTGCCGGTCAAACTTGGCAGAGTTGTAAGGGACGGAAGGATGTATTTCATTCCAATAACTATTAGG